CAGGCGCCAGTCCAGTGGCTGTGGCAGCCCTGGCAGACGCCACCCTTATAAATTATTTTTTTTTTCTTTTTTTGATTTTGTTGTTGTTTTTTATTTATTTATTTTTTTTTTAAAAAAAAAATCGAAAATGATTTTTTAAAAAAATTCGAAATGGGTTTTTTTTTAAATTAATTTTGAAAATTCGAAATAGGTTTTTTTAAAATTAAGTTTGAAAATTCGAAATGGTATATTTTTAAATTTAGTTTGAAAATTCGAATTGGGTTTTTATAAAAATTAAGTTTGATTATACATAATTATGCTTTTTTTTTTGTGTTAATTCTGTGTAAATATAGAAATTAAATGTATTATCCGTTAAATGTATTTATTGTAATATATAATTGATGCAGGATTATGGTGGAGACGGAAATGATTACAGTGGGATATTTGGACATGATGGTCCATTCGAAGAAGCTCAACAGGCGATTGATTGGGCAAAACAGGTTGCAATTGCAGCTGGATTTTGCTTGGTAGTAGTAACTCATAAATCTCAACGGGATGGTAGAATGGATCGCATTTTGAGATGTGACCGTTATTGCAAAAGAGAAGACAGAGATTTTCGTACAGCCACTCGGTTTGATACAAAGCGGAAAGGTTGTGGGTGTGAGTTCAGAGTAAAGGTTCGACAACTACGGAGTCGTGACGGTTGGGAAGTGATTGGTTACTCTAAATGGGGGTATCACAACCATGAGATGATAGTATATGAAGAGGGTCATCGACAGCTGAGCGGCTTAAGTCCTGCTGCGAAAGTAGTTGTGAAAGAAATGAGTGATGCTCAAGTCAAGCCTGCTGAAATATTAGCATCTGTGTTAGAGAAATTTCCAGAAGACCATCCAAACCGAAGACACATCTACAACGTCAGACAGCAACTCAGGTTTGAACGGTCAGAGGGAAGGAATCCTATACAGCAGCTGCTACACCAGGCACAATCACGTGGTTACCTGTTCTGGTTTGATTCTGATGAAGATACAACGGAGGTGACTCATCTTTTCCTTGCGCATCCTGATTGTGCTGATATGATCAAGTCTTGGCCATTTGTGATTTTGATCGACTCAACGTACAAGACAAACAAGTACAAGTTCCCACTGGTTGAGATCATGGGGATGACTCCAACGAACCAGAACTTTCTGATTGGTCATGCAATCATCAAGGATGAGACGGCTTCAAGTTATTATTGGGTGTTGGAGAAGCTGAGAAACTACATCGGGCCTAATGTTCATCCAGCAGCCATCGTCAGCGACTGTGAGGGAGGTCTCTTTGCCCCCATAGCAGAGCTGTTTCCAGAATCGAACCACTTATTGTGCACATGGCACATCAACAACTGCGTGAAAGTGAAATCCTACAACCTTTTCAACAAGAATTTGGAAATGGCAGAGAGATTGGTGAATGGTAAGTGGCGGAAGATCCTACAGGCTACCACAGAGGAAGCGTATGAGCGAGCATTGGCTAACTTCAGGGATTCGTACCAGTGGTGTCCGACACTGGTGGACTATGTGATGCAGCAATGGGTCCCTCACAGGGAAAAGTTTGCCAAATATTGGACAAACCAGGTACTTCATTTCGGGAACACTACAACATGTAGAGTTGAGAGCGCTCATAGAGCTACCAAGGACTGGATTGATTCAAATATTATTCGTGACGCTACTCATGTACTTCATGACATGTTCCACACGTCTACCTTAGATTATGAGGAACCCGAAGGAGTTGACCGTCCTCGAGGTCGACAACGGCGGAACAGGAGTGCGTTTGAGTATATCCGTGGTTTTGGTCGTGGTCGTGCTCGTGGTCGGACATCGTCATCTAGTCGTAGTCAATCTTCATCGTCTGTGAATATGACCCTGAGAACTGGTACGTTTTGGTTGTTTACATTGCACATAGTTTTAAAGTGTTACTCCTGCCTTCTTGACTGTCTATAATTATATGGTGAATAGGAAGAAACGATGTTGATCAGTTTCCGTACAAGGAAAGGATACCTGCGATCATCATGCCGTACTTGGAAGGGTGGAATGATGTAGTCGGAGATGGTAACTGCGGATTCCGGGTCGTGGCTGATGTTTTTCAAATGGGCGAAGACAACTACGGTTTGGTGCGTCAGTTGATGTACAGCGAAATTGCCTCTAACCGAAATGTTTATCGTCATGTGTACCAGGATGACTTGGATGGTGCTCTGCGGCGTATCCGGTGGGGAGGTGGACCTTGCGGCCAAAATCATTATTTTGACGCGCCCCTAGATCTGTTTGCCGTTGCAAACATTTACAAATGCGCAGTCATGCATTTCGGCCTGGGAGTGCATAGTCAAGCTTATTATCCTTGTACCACGGTTCTCCCTTGGCGGTCGCGTGAGTCTGTCACCACACCGGTCAGAGAGCTAGCTATTGCGTTTCTTGGGTCGTCATACAGACATTTCATCCGACTAGACATGCCATCCGATTTTCCAGTGCCACCGATTATACCTCGGTGGTATAACATTCGCACAGCGAGCGTAGAGGGTTGGGATGCGCTATATCATGACCGGATCCACGAATGGAACACCCTAGCTGCATTTTAGTTTTTCATGTTTACATTCTTCCTATGTAATCTTATTTGTACGTTGCTCTTTTAATGAGAACATTAATCTTTTATATTGTATTGCTTACTGCATTCTATATGTTGCATGGGTAAGTTGCGCGGATCCACGAACGGTTATATCAAAATTTTAAAACAGCAATGATAATATGTTTAAGTTGGAAGCTAAAAGAACAATCTAAAATGTTACAAACTTACAACATAATGTCCAATTTAATAAATTAAAACGATAATATTTAAAGTGCTCTATAAATAAAATGACAAAACCATCAGTAATCCCTCCTCGACGACGACTCCCACTGCGCAAGCGTCTGTTCCACTGGCCTACACTGTCGGGGTCACACGCCTCTACTATGTCGCGTGGCCTGAGCTTGTTTCCGCCGCTCTTATCCGGAAACAAGGTACATCCGAGGAGTAGAAAAACATAAGCACTCAGCTGTGCGTCGTGCGTCCTACGTGCACTGGGGTACAAACACCGCTGCAACACGGATGCGATCTTCACACCTCCGTGTTCCAAAACACCTAGCGCCTCGGTGTACAGTGCAGCCCTGTCCACCGCCAACAACTCCGCCAGCAAATCTGCCTGATCCGCATCAGCCATAGCACAAAGTCGTTTACCCTCAACACGAATCCCCAGAATGGCCTCGACGTCATGTAACATGATCGTCATCTCACCGAACGGAAGGTGGAAAGAGTTTGTATCCGGCTGCCATCGCTCAATGAAAGCCGTGATCAGCGTACTGTCAATCTTATCGTGCATGGTGGCAGGAACGTGATTCACCCCAGTGCCCTCTAGTCGCTCGAACATCTCGCTCTCCGCCGGCCAAGCCTCAGCCCATGTACGCAAAAAGCTACAAGTCTTTTCCCGGGTATGACATTTCAACAACCCCGTAACTGAAGGCCTCTCCTGGTCCTCCCAAATACGGGCAGCTATGTGTCCTAGAAAGCTAGGAATCACACTCCCATCAACAGGCCCACCGGGCACCTCACTCCTAACAACCCAAGAATCATTACCGGCCCTCGACCGTTTCCTGCTTGCCCCAGATACAGTGGACGCAGATGATGTGCAAGATCTACTAACAAACCTACCACCCCTACCCTTACGCACCTCCACCATATGTGTCTCGTACATGTCATCAACCCTCTGACTGAATGGACCGTAATCATCATACGGTCCACTGCCATCGTCCACATCCTCATCCTCATCCTCATCTGCGCCCTCCTCCTGCTCCTCCTCCTGGTCACCCTCCTCAGCATCATCATCGTCATCGTCATCCTCATCCCGACGGTGGATCCGTTCTCTACGAGCTGAGGCCGAAATACCACGGGATCTGACATGTCTATGCCCCGACCTCCCCACTGAATAGCTTCTACTAAGAAGCTCTACATTCTTCCCCGCACCATGACGACCCAGTGAATTCTACACAAAATTTTAAAATATATAAACATACAAAAATTTATACGAAAAATAGCTACCACTACCCAAATCAAATAAACTAAAAACATACTAACAAATTAACATAATAAAGAAATTAACAAAACACTTAAATAAAAATAATAGAATAAAAAATACACTTATAAAGGAAATAAAACCAACACAGAAGAATATATATATAAACATAAATAATTCATTCCCAATTAAAATAAATTAACTAACCAAAAACAATATCAATAATAAAATTTAAAATAAATTAACTAACCAAAAACAATATCAAAGTCACAAAAAAAATTTAAAAACAAATCAAAATAGAGAATAAAAATAAAAATGTACAAAATAAACAAACAAATAATTGTAAACAAAATATAAACATAGAAAAAAATACAACAAAATTGAAAAAAAATATAAAAATAAACAACAAAATATAAAAACAATTCAAAAAGATATTACACAAAAAAAAAACAATATTTTAAAACAAATATAAAAAAAAAAAGAAAAAAAAGAGGGGGGGGCGCCTTGGCTGGACGCCCAGCCAGCGGTGGTGGCGCCAGCTGCAGACGCCGCCACCAGTGGGCTGGCGCCTGGGCTGGACGCCACAGCCACGGCTGCGGCGCCTTGAATAAACGCCACAACCGTGGCTATGGCGTCCAGCCCAGGCGCCAGCCTACTGGTGGCGGCGTCTGCAGCTGGCGCCACCACAGCTGGCTGGGCGTCCAGCCAGGGCGCCCCACCTCCGTCACGACGGTTTTTCCTTTTTTTTTTTTTTTTTTTTTACAAATTGTACCTTGCCTCCTTGGGACCTCCTTCCCTCCGCCGCCGCCGCCAATTCCTTGCCTTGCCGCCTCGACATTGCCGTTGTTTGAATTTTTTTTTTTTTTTAGAGAGGTTGAAAGAAGATGAGCGATGAGAGTGTGAGTGATGAGAGTGTGAGTGATGAGAGTGTGAGTGTTTTTTTTTAGGTCAAGGGCAATATTGTCAAACCAAGTGAATTTTGTGGGCTTTATGTAGTAATTTGTGGGCGATGTTTAACAAATCCCTTATATGGTGGGAGTTGCCTGTTTATTCTTTCAAGAATTGAAAAAATCTAAGCAAGTAAATTAATCCAATCATATAATCTCTTTCTTTTTTGTAGATAAAAGTTTTAGGAAACGATCCAAAATTCAAAAATGGAACAAGAATTTGAAGTACAAGTAAATATATTATCAAAGGAAATGGTAAAACCATCATTTCCACCCTCCTCTCATCCCACAACATTCACTCTTTCCCTCATCGATCAAACTTTCCCTACCTTACATGTCCCGGTACTCCTTTTCTACACCGCCGAGTCCCCAACACCACAAGGCGGAGTTGATATAAATGGCCTAAAAACATCCCTAAGCCAAACACTTGATCAATTCCTCCCTCTTGCAGGTCGACTCTTAGATGAGTCGACCATTTCTTGCAACCACAAAGGCATACCATTTATTAAGACTAAAGTCAATTGTCATCTCTCGTTTGTCACGACATCACCTCATAAGTTGAATTTCATTACCAAGTTTCTCCCTCCCCCAGAGTTACAGGCTTCTGGGTCGCAACTAATCTCAGAGCTTGTCCCTTTAGCCTTTCAGATCAATGTTTTCCTATGTGGAGGGGTGGTCATTGGATGCTACATGCTCCATAAACTCCTCGACATAGCTTCCCTAGGAACCTTCCTTAAGTATTGGTCGAACCTTGCTAGTAACCGGTTAAATGACGTAGTCCAACCCAACTTTGAAGCCACTATCAATGCATTTCCTCCCCTTCCTAAGCCGGAATACAAATCTTCGCCTATTTCATCGTTGGAACCTCGACCTATATCAAACAATGTCATCAAAAGTTTCATATTCGATCCTATTGCCATAAACAAACTTAAGGCCAAGGCAACAAGTGAGCTAGTTCCTAAACCTACAACATTTGAGGCGGTGGCAGGGTTTGTATGGGAGCAAACCTTGGCCACAAGGCTTAATTTGGGAATACAAGTTGAGCATACCGCGTTATCAATTGTAGTGAACATGCGGCCGAGGATGAACCCGCCACTCCCTAGAGAATCCATGGGTAATCCCATCACAATCTCACAAACACAAGTACATGAACATGTACACTCTGAGCTACAAGAACTTGTTAAAGAAATCCATTCAACTTTGTACAATTTCTACCAAAAATTTTTTAGTACAAATTTTAAAGGGAAAAACGCTAAAGATGAGTTGCAACATTCTATTGAACTTGAGGATGGCATCTTAAGGGTTAGCAGCTGGTGCAAAATGGGTTTGAATGAGGTGGATTTCGGGTTCGGAAAGCCCACATGGATTGTTCCTACAGATGGAATACAACCCCCTCAATTTAGGAATTTTTTCGTTTTAACTGATTATTGTCACTCTAATAGTGGAGATGGAATTGAAGCATGGTTGGTTTTGGAGGAAAAAGAGATGCAAAATTTAGAGTCCAACCCATATTTTCTTGCCTTTGCTTCTCCGAATTAGTCATAAAACCCACAAGTTGCTCACTTTTATTTCTTTGTTAAATTGTCATGCTTTTTATGTGTTGTTTGGCCCATTCACTGCTTGGGCTATTGTTAGTTTAACTATTAAAAAATTAAAATGTGTTATGAAACACAAACAACCATAAAGTGAACAGGGGCGGAGCCAGGATTTTTAGTTACGGGGGCCGACGGTTGAATCAATATATAAATATATACGTTATAATTGTAACGATTTTTTTAATCGAAGTTTATGATTTTTCATATAAATAACGTCAATAATAGATTTTCATAAATGTTAAAAATGTTGGTAACCTATTTTTCTATGTATAAAAGTTGTGTAAAAATCCACTCGTTGACTGTCAACTACTCTTAAAATAAAGAGTTTTTTTTCATGATTATACCTGTCATATTGTATACAAAAAGGGATTTATTGACAAATTAGTAGTAAACAATTTCACAAGTAGAAGTTTGAAGAAACAAAAAATTTAAATAAACTGAAGCGGGTAATTTATAGAAGATTGAAGTAACGAAAAAATAAATAAAATGAAGCCGGTAATTTATAAAACAAAAATGTACGTGATTGAATAAAATTACAAGAGTAAAGAAACGAAAAAAAAAAAAATGAAGCCAATAATTTATAAAACAAAAATGTACATGATTGAATACAAGTACAAGATTAAAGAAATGGAAAAAAAAAATGAAGCCGGTAGTTTATAAAACAAAATTTTACGTGATTGAATACAAGTAGATGATTGAAGAAACGGAAAAAAATCACTTATAGAAGAGTTGAAGAAGTTACTGGAAAATATGGCAAAAAAATAGAGAAAAGAATAAGATGAAAGATCTAATATTATTGGAGTTAATTAAGAATAAGATTATAAAGTAAATAAACAACAATATTATCTTCACCAAAAAAACAACAATATTATTGGAGTTAATTAAGAAGAAGATAACTCCATTGCCCTCACCTCCCTATTCTCTTTTTTCTCTCTTCTCTCTCCTCTCTCTTTAGGGTTTTAATTTTCTTGGCCGTTTAGGCCGGAAATAGTTTAATTTAATTTCTTCGGAAATTAGACTATTTCCGACCCTTTTTCTTTAATTTAATTTGCCTTTTTGTTATTTGTTTTGTTTTGCTTTGTTTTGTTCTCTCCGTTCGTGAAAGTTTGTCCCAATTGTTTTGGGTTTTTTTTTCCAATTTTTTGGGATTTTGATTCTCATATATGGATAAGAATTTTAATTTTAGAGTTTTAATAATAATTGAGAAGGTGATTTGGATTCATATGGGTTTAGGGTTCGTCATCAACGCTACGATCAAAACATCAGCGCAGATTGCGAAGGGTCTCTACTTGGAAAGATGCAAAGACATCGAAAATCACTGCTCGCGTCAAGTTTAAAGCGGTGGAGTGTTAGCTATGCCCGATATGCAAATTAGTTATGATTTTGATTGTAAAAGTTATGTTATTTTCTCAAGATATGTGGTTTACAAATATAATCTTTATTATTGTTGTACATGTCGTATGACTATTTATTAATGATAATATTCATCTTCTTGTTAAAAAAAAAAAAATTAAGAAGAAGATTATGGAGTAAAAAACAACAAAAACGACAAAAAAAAATGTTGATTATGAGGATATACAACTCAATCATATACTCCCTCGGTTCCTCAATCATATACACCACAAAAATCACTTTATTAAGACTTTAGGCAAAAAATAGTGTACATGGGTTGACACAAATATCAATGAGGAGAGAGATAGAGAGAGAGTAAGTGAAAAAAGATGCCAAAAATAGTATGGGGCAATCTTTTAGGGATTACCAAAAAAGACAAGTGGAGTAAACAATTAGGGACGGAGGGAATACGAAGTATGTGGTAAGTTATAAACCCACTAACCACTGAGCCAACAAAATTCCAACATTATATATATGAGTTGTTTAATATATATCCTAAAAACTTCATGTACTTTTAGGTTGGGTTGGGTAGATTTTAAGTAGTTGTCTCTGGGTCATTCAGGTTGAGTAAGGATAAGACCTGCCAAGTACGTGAGTTCTAAGTATACCGTTTTCGGCTAGGCCACTAGTTTGTATAAAAGTATGCATAAAATCCTCTTAGTAATTAATGAGAGATTACCAAGCAAAGCCACTTTGAGGTCACAAGTTCGAGCCCCACTAATTACAAAATGCGTGCTTAGGTGTAGGGGGATTCCTTTACCTCCCCCTTTACTCTGAAGCGTCGACTTGCGGAGCTGGGTTGGCTAAACCTATGACAATGTCGATTCAGTAAGGTTCTTCATCTTACCTTAAAAAAATTGAGAGATTGTATACACAGTTGGCATATAAAGATATTGTACGCTCATTTTGATGATTATTGCTCATCAATTGAGCCAAAAAAAAAAACCTTAAATGTACCATATACAAGCATACACCCGCATATGTAAAATTACTTTCAATTATATTTACGGTGTAGCTATTACTATCAATACGTTAGAAATAATTTTCTCCGATACCATGCATAAAAATATGCATAAAAGCCTCGTGATTAAAGATTTTTTTTTTTTTTCCTGCATAAAAGTATATATTTCGTATAAGTCACGATGAGTTGTTCTCCCTTGGTATGTGATTAAATCTTTGAAAATCTAACGTTGACTAATTCGTGATACACGTAATTGTAGAGTTAAGATCACTTGAACAAATAATTGATGGATTTGATGTTATATAGTATGTTCTTTAATATTAATCCAGCTCTCTCTTAGTATGATTGATAATAAAAAAAATATGCATACAAATACAATAATGTATTCATGTGATGCATCAACCATTTTATTTATTACGAAGTAATCAACTTGGGCGGCATTAATTTAATGAAACTACATAGTAGATGCTGCCAAACGTCTACTTAAAGGTCCAATGAAGCTAAAATATGGAAATAGCATGCAACTCAACAAATAAAAACAAATCCAATTATTTCTTCCTTTAATTTCTAATTACAAGTAATCCTTCTTGTAGATCAATTTTTTTGGAAACAACTACTAACCTTTATTTCTTTCAATGGAGGATCAACTTGAAGTAGATGTGAAGATAATATCAAAGGAAATGGTTAAACCATCATTTCCTCCACTCTCGAATCCCACAACGTTCACCCTTCCCTTCATCGATCAAATTTTCCCTACCTTTCACATTCCCTTGCTCCTTTACTACACTTCGAACCCCTCAACACAACAAGGCGAAATTGATATAAGTGGTTTGAAAACATCCCTAAGCCAAACACTTGATCAATTTCTCCCTCTTGCAGGTCGACTCATGGATGAGTCGACCATTTCATGTAACAATGAAGGCATACCATTGATTGAAACTAAAGTCAACTGTCATCTCTCTGTCGCGTTGACATCACCTCATAAGGTGAAGTTACTTCCCAAATTTCTCCCTCCTCCAGATTTACAGGCTTCTGGATTGCAACCAATCTCAGAACTTGTACCTTTAGCCTTTCAGATCAATGTTTTCGTATGCGGAGGGGTGGTAATTGGATGCTACATGCTCCATAAATTCCTCGACGCAGGCTCCATTGGAACTTTCTTTAGGTATTGGTCAGCCCTCAATAGTAAACGATTACAAGACCTAGCTCCGCCTCACTTTGAAGCCACTGTCAATGCATTTCCACCCTACCCTAAGAAAGAACACATACCTTCGTTTAATGCTCTAGATTTACTTCCCCATCCTACACAAACAAAGTTGACTTTTGCGATCAAAAGTTTCATTTTCGATACAAGTTCCATAAATATACTTAAGACCAAGGCAGCTAGCAAGCTAATTTATAAACCTACAGGATTTGAAGTCGTGCTAGGATTTCTTTGGGAGCATATATTGGCCACGAAGCATAATTTGAGTTTGCAAGTTGAACGTACATCGGTAACAATTGCTGTGAACATGCGGCCAAGGATGAGCCCACCACTCCCTAGAGAATCCATGGGGAATATCATCATAACACCAAATGTATTAGTGCCCGAAGAAAGTAACAACAACAAGTTTCAAGAGCTTGTTAAGGAAATCCATTCAACTTTGTCAACTACTTACAAGAAAATTAATAGTAGAATTTTTCAAGGGGAAAATGCGAAAGTTGAGTTACTACGTTCGATGGCGCCTGTAGATGGTGCTTTAATAGTTAGCAGCTGGTGCAAAATGGGTTTGAATGAGGCGGATTTCGGGTTCGGAAAGCCTATATGGATTGTACCTACAGATGGAAAACAAACCCCTCTTTTGGTAACGAATGTTTGTTGCATGACTGATTATTGTCATCCTATTATTGGAGATGGAATTGAAGCGTGGTTGATGTTGGAGGAGAAAGAGATGGATTATTTAGAGTCCAATGCAGATTTTCTTGCCTTTGCTTCTCCTAATTAGTAGTATTAGTACAGTACTTTGCTACTGCCAATCATAATAAAACGCACAACTTCTTCGCATCAACAAATTTATTTCGTTTTATAATGTCTTGATTTTTATTTAACTGTCCTTTAAATTTCTTCTCAATCAATAAATAAGTGTGATTATTAAATATTACTCCCTCTATTTTACAATAATTGAAAACTTGTTCTCTTTTCGTTGTTTAAGAATAATTGATCCACATGCTACTATAAATGAAAATGGATCATCAGTTTTATAAATGTATATACAGAGTATTTATAAGTTACAACGAACACACACTGTGGCCCAATAACTAACTTCTTACATCATCACATGTCTCATTTTTAACAATATAAATGTATCTACTAACTTAATTTTACGTTAAGCAACACATTTTATGGTACTCACTCCTCACTAGAGCTGGTCATTGGGTAGGATAGCCCAATGATAATAGAGTTAAGAAAATTTAAATGGCTTTTAATGGACAGGACTCTTATTGGGTAGGGTCAATATATGGTCAAAATATTTTTCCAATTTAATTGATAAAGAAAATGGATAATGTAAAAATAATTACATAGATAAATTTGTATTCATATATCAATAAATCTTGCGTATACCTGGTTCACAATAATATTATTGTTAAGATTTATAAACACATAAGTGTCATTACATTCAACATAATGACCCTTGATTTTAATATAGTAACCTTATTTATAACATAGTAACCTTTTTTATAACTTGTGTCACCTTTAATTTTATTATGAATTTAAAATACGACATTATGTTAAATATTGACCTAATTTTAACATATAGTGGTGTTTATTATTCATATTGACCATTGTATTAAAAATTTCATTAAAAAAATTAACCTATTATAACTAATGTCACACTAACTTTTATTTCAACATAATAACCTTTATATTAATATAGTGACTTTTTTTATTAAAAAAACAATCATATTGTCTCTAATATTGGTGCTCCACAATAAATTAGTGTGAATCAGGTCCATTTAAGAATTTGTATTCACATATACTTAATAATAACTTGGGAAATTCTCTTTGGTAGACCTCTAATAATAAAAATTATGAGTGGTAAAATGCAAAAAAAGTTATTATCCTTGGTGAACCATATTTTAAAAAGTTTAGTCATTGGTAACATTAAGCAAGGTAATTAGGCATTTCTTAACCATAGTTAACCATTTTAAGTAAAAAAAAAGCTATGATGCCTAAAATACCCCCATTCTAAAATTAATTAAATGTTTTTTTAAAAAAAGATATAAAGCAGTTAAAATTACTTTTTTTTTTGTTATTATCATTATAAAAAAATAAAAAATAAAAACCACCACCCTGCCACCATCTTCCCCACCATCCTGCCACCATTCCCTCTCCCCCTCCCCCAACCAAACCTGACGGCTGGTGTAGATACCTAAAATGTCTCCCCAAAACCAAACCCGATGATGAACACCTTTCACCGCCATTATTGGTTGGGTTGAGTATTTAATCCTTGGAGTGCTTAAATTCATGTTCTATACAATATATTTAATGAACCAATCCAATTTCTAGCTCATTTACCTAAACCATAACCTATTTTCCACTTTTCGTGTCCACATCGCAAAACCGAGAGAAACTGATTTTATGGATATACAATTTTGATCCATTTATTATTTTGTTGGATAGGCCTTTAAATAAGATTTCCAACCATATATCATAAGCCCAATTCCGAGCTATAACGAAAAAGATATGAGCAAAACACTAAAACGGCCGTAGCTTAAAATCTACAAATTATTTTTGACCTGATTTTAAATGGGTTGGAAAGTAGACTTGATAATCTTTCCAATGATATATTATATACCTTATTCTGAGTTAGGATCAAAAGTTATGATTATTTTAAAAACGAGTAAAAAGCTGAAATTACCATGCAGCAGCTAAAATGCCGCGGCGCGGCAAATGCTGACGTGTCATGGGGCTTATTCCCGTGACACGGTGCCCTTTTTGTGTAAATCTGCACATTTAATCCACCGTTAACGGGATTTTGCACCGTGTCACATTGCAATTTCCCGTGTCACGGTGCCCATTCCGTGACACGGGGATATTCCGTGTAATTTCAGCGTACTTTTTACACTGTGACACGGCATACTGCACTGTGCCACGGTGGACAATTCCGTGTCACGACATGTCATCCCGTGTCACGGTGCACAACCTGTGACACGGGATTGCTCCTTGTTTTCTCCGCGTAATCCCTAAACGCGTTTTCATTTCCCGTAACCTAATTATTTCCCGCGTCACTCAGTTTTCCCCCGTGTCACGGGATCTTCCCCTGTCTTACGGTGCCTGGCATCGTGTCACGGTGCTCTTTGCCGTGACACGATGTTATTTTTTAGGGTTTTTATCTTTTTAGGGTTCCGCGTGTTCTCTCTGCTCATTTTCCCTATAAATAAGACCCCCCCTTTCTGCAATTCGGGGCACCAATAATCATTCTCTCTCACCTTACACCAAAAATCATTCTCTTCTCCCTCTTTAACCTAATTTCTAGCCTCCTTATTCTTCCAAAATAATTCCCCTAAGCGTTCCAAGGAGTCCACACTTAACCCGATGTTTCGTCCTTAAACCAAGGCGTGAAAGGTACACATAGCTGAGGGTTTGGACCAAATCAACTCTACTTTTTATTTAATTTAATTTAATTTTCATTTACTTTATATTTTTTTTTATTGAAGTTACTAACAGTTTATTCATGATGTAGCAATTTAAAGGAGTGCGCGGAATGTGAGTAATTAATTAATTTAATTACTCTTATTTTATTTTTAATATTTGTAGTATCATGATTAGGGTTATTTTATATTTGATTTGACTAACACTATTATTGTTAAATTGCTTCCATTATTAATGTTTATTCTATTATTATTTATTGATCACTATATTGCATGTTTAAAAAGAATATGTAATTGAAAATCACGCCTAATAAGATTATTTGAACGACCGGTTTAAGTTCCTTTTTAATCTTGTTGTTTAATCAAGTGATCACGATATTTTAGAATTATATGTTGCATTAATATTCAACCAATTTAGCCTAATAATATTTTGGAGCAAATTGAATATTTTGTTTGTATGCCTTTGAGATCGTAGGAATCATTTTTCACTATAAGAATCAAGTAGAGGTCAATACGGGCGAATGTAACTTCATGACTCACTTCGTACCATCATCCCCAATCCTCCTTTCGTGGTTCCGAACCATATGGAGTTGGTAATCTCATGGATTATGAATGGGGTGTAATCTTCACGGGTCAATCGTTGTTGCCTATCGTTGTCCCTTATTCGTGGTTGCCTTTTATGATCCGTGAACGGTTTATAAGTTCCTTAAAAACCTGTTGGCGGCTCCCTACTTTCGTTGTCCCTAATCGTATATGTCAATTCCCACTTCCTATGAGTGCCAAGCATATTCATACATGCTTAACGTAGGCGCACTTCGAACAACGCCTACGGCTGGCGTTGAGCTCACCCACCGCCGGTCGACCCACCCCCTATTTCCTGACCAAATCAAAACTCCCACGCAGCCCCAATTCAACCCCTTCCTGGCCATCGCAGCCAACCTCCACCACCAAAAACTCCCACAAATCGCAACCAACGGACCGTAACCAACCCTATATCCTTCACGAACAGCAGCCTTGCTGTCATTCCTGATCCTCGCACCAACAATTAAAGCCCTAATTGCGTTTCAAATCAGAGCCAACGCTTCTGTAAATTTAGGGAGGTTTTGGGGCGATTTCAGGCGACAATTTAAGCGAACATTTTAAGTGGTTTTAGGCGAATATTTGGGCAGATTCTCAGGCTAGTTATTCAGACAAAATTCAGCCTGTTTCAGGCGAAAATTCGGGCTATTCCTTTTGATTATTGGTGTAGTTGGGTGTCTTTGATGCGATTTTCGAGCGTTCTTCCAGGAGGTTCAGGCGGCGGTTTTCAGGCGGTGGGCTGGTTCCTGGGTGGGGGAGGGGGCTGCGTGCAAGGGAGGGATAGAGGTGGTGGTGGGGGGGGGTGATGGGGAGGTGGTGGTTCTTAACCATGGTTAACCATAGTTACGCTAAAAATGCTTAATTACCTTGCTTAATGTTACCAATGACTAAACTTTTTTAAATATGGTTCACCAAGGATAATAACTATTTTTGCATTTTACCACTGAGAATTTTTATTATTAGAGGTCTACTAAAGAGAATTTCCCTAATAACTTTATCTAATATTTATTTTAATTGATATTTTGTAAGCCCGCCCATTATCGACCCGCAACCCACATTGGCCCGACCTGATACTGACCCTACAAAATGTGATGCTCTTTGACCCGACCCACAACTAACCCGCACCAACCCTAACCTTGACTGCCCAATAACCAGCTCTAGTCCTCACCTATTTTTTTTTCTCAACCTATTGGAGGTGGCTAATAATTTTGAAACTGAAATCAGTATAAAATTTGTTTAGAATGTGAGGTAATTTTTCAATGCCAAAATGGATTAAAGTTCATAGAGGCACCGAAACTCTGGCAATCCTACAATTTCAACTTGGGGTGGGCAGTTTGATGAGAGAAAAGATGTCACAGTAGTTGGTTAGAATTGAATCACAGAGTTGTTGACTAGTGCATGATTGTTAGTTAGCCTTTTGTTATCTTGGTTCTCAGAGCCCTTAAATTATCAACCTCCGAACATTAGAGCAACCCTTGTTGATTTAGGTAACCTTTTTATTATAATCATGTAAACTAAACAAAGAAGATGTCTAGTTGGTTGTCTTTGAACACTAGACTATTTCTTCCTAGCTATAAAACCCTCATAGTGTATTAATGAAATACCCAACAAGTTAAGCTACTGATTATTACTCCCTCTGTTCACTGACTTCATTCATATTTTTTGCCCTATAGCTAAGTTTGGGTCAAACTTTGAATTTTTATACCATAGATTCTTACTAATCTACAACTCCCAAATGTGAGATAATTACTTTAAAGACAAATTGATTATCCAGTGACACAAAATTTTGCAAACTGTTGGAGTATTGTATATGAGAAAAGGAAATAAAGTAAG